CAGTACTGTCATGCTGAACTTTATACAGAAATACTTTTCTAAATAGAAACATTTTCTGGAGCAAAGTTTAAAAATGAACAAGACCCCAATTGATTTTCCTCATCTGACCAGCATTGGATTTCAATCTTTCCACTGACAAATCAAAGAAGACTTCTTAAATACCAACAACGGCATCATTGCAAGATGGAGCAGCATATACTCTAACAATTGTTTGCCACCACTATCACCACCACTGAATACGAGTGGGCAAGCCTATCTTTGACTTCTTCATTCAAATTTTTTCAACAAGTCAACTAGGTTAATACCGGAAATAACGTGTTTACAACTACAAGCAGTGTCGATACCCGGAGACGTCCAGTGTTCAAATTCCCTTCCAAGTTTAGTTATTTCAGCATCCATGTACCTTTCTACACCCTAGCTTCTAAACGACGATTTTTATGGTGACACAGGTAGTTCAGTCAACCGGGAACCTGTATTTCTCTTGCTGATTTTACTAAGTTGTGTATTGTACTTGCCAGTTACTTCTTTTGTTCTAGTTGATTGTTTTTTTTATTGTAAGTTGTCAGTTATCTGTTTTGGGCTTGCAACTTTTTCTATCTCTCACGATCTATGGTTGGCTATGTTATTTTCACTTCGCCCACAGAATGTAACTTAGAGTCGGGGATTTTGGCGTTGACCTACCTCATGAAACGAAATATCTAACGACTTATATGAAACAACAAATGACGCGTATGCATGGAAGAAATTTACATAAATAGCAAGCAGGATATATGCACAATGCTCACAGAATTAACGAAAATAATTAACTATATTTAAATGAATACAAAATTTACATAATCAGTTAGCATCGGAATTTGAATTGTCACATCTCATATTTCTACCTAACACAAAAGAATATAATTTTAAGTTTTTTTTTGGAAACTATATTCTGTGGCTATTAAAATAATGACAAGCAGAGAGGAAAAGCATTGGATTCTTATTGATTGTCTACGAAATGTACATTAAATATCCGATGAGATCTGCTTTATTTATGTTTTGTCTACGAAATGTCTAATGAAATCTGCTTTTTATTTGGTAGTCTACGAAATTTACACGGATGTCCGATAGAATTCGATTCTTGTCTGCATATGTTCACATATGTTCAGTGATATCTGCTTTTTATTATCTGGCTACGAAATGTACACATGTGTCCGATGAGATCTGTTTCTTATTGTTAATCTACGAAATGTACATCAGTACCCGATGAGATCTGTTTTTATTGTTAGTCAACGAAATGTGCATAGGTGTCTGTACGAATGTCTAAATTAGACTGTCACATTAGAGTATGTTATCCACTATCCAGTAGATATTCATCATTTCATTTGAACTTGAACCACACCCATAGTCCTACTGGTAGTGCTTAGCGCCAAATATATTGCACGATAATTGAAATATGTTACTTTAATTACATTTAATACAGTTATCATATATGGCTTAAATTGTTATTACATTTACATATCAATAATTACTAGAACGCGTTCATGCTGTTTACAGTGTTTACGTCCTGAGATATGAAAATCTATAAAAAAAAAATAACTAACAGCAAACGTGTACATGCTTCTTATAGCACTCATAAAAGGTACTGTTTGTTACCATGGCAATGAACACGGCCGTTGCTATGCTACGAAATATTATATTATAATAAAAAAAGTAAAACTCGTGTTTGATATCAGTGTTCGTTTCAGGTACGTGCTTGAATATCGCACACTCCATAGTGTATATTCCAAATATTTCATTTTAGAAGAAGATAAAAACAAGCTAACACGTACGGGTCCAATTCCCGAACATCCAATCAGCGAAGCCGAATATAAAGCAATGTACTACCGAACATGTGACGAAAACACACATCGCGAATTGTTTAACGTACGTTTATAGTGATATTTATCGAATAAATTAGCTTTCATGATAAGTAGTTTCAATAGTAGCCGACGTCTACATTTCTACGCAATACAGCAAAACACTGGTCTGAGATGTGGAGAAAAAATAACGCACCATCATATGCGTCATATGTTCCAACGCGTATCTCGGCCAATAGTTAATCCAGTGTATATATTTAATATGTTGTGCGCCCTCCTGTTCTTCGTATTTACCGAGAGAGGGCGCTATCGACGTGTCACCACGTCAGTGTATATTATTCAGTGTATTAGTACAAAAGCACCGTTATAGATCACGAAGAAGTAGAATGAGTAAATCAGGGTCAAGTACCCATCACGTTGTCTTCCCAATGTGCGAATAACTAGGTAAACAGCGTTCCAGCTACTACATATATTTCCATTTTCTGCCAGCCACAAATGCAGCTCCCGGCGCATTCATAGAATGTTTTCAGCCGACCCTCCATTGGCCGCATCTGTACTAACAAGTAAAGCCATCTTCTGACTCGGAGCGTGGGAGGGCGCACGCTTATCGACGGAATGTACGTCACTGCTCACAGAACACTTGTCCGAGCTGTTTGGAACGGTCAGTGATTGTCTTTTTTCCATTACCGATGTACTTGAAGGGTCGACATATGTAGTCCGAGTTTTGGAGGACCTTTTATTTATACTGTGGTTCGTATTTGTCTTGTTTATTAGAGTCGTGGCTTTGACACCGGTTCCTACTTTCTCTGGCGAATAACCACGTACGATACTTATAATCTAAAGAAAAACAAACACATTTCATAATATATATTGCATAATGATACATCTCCA